CATCAACCATTCTGCTATTACTTTCACTACACTGAGTTTCGATAGGTAACGTGATCACTACAGAATTTTGAAAACCAGGGAAAAGGGCTCAGTGAGGACTTACTCGGAGCAGTGCGCTGCCTTTTGAAATCTGATAGGCATTTCAAAATAAATATTTCAGTTATTTAGCTTGATCAATTTACCACAATCGACCAGTAATACCAAAGCTGAGTACACAATAAACATCCAGCTCACAGCAGCAATTCACATGAAATGTTTGAATTATCACACTCCACAGCATCTACTTTCTGGCAACTAAATAGAAATATTGTTTTGAAATGATGTGAATTGACTGCAATTAACAGTTACTATAATCTGTTCTCTTCACAGGTGGTCTCGGTCTAGGAGGTAAGAATCAAAAGTCACAATATCTCTTTTGGAAAACACAGTAAACTCCTGAAAAGGTGCTCTTTTGATAAATAAGTAAACTCCTGACAAGTAAACTTGGGCATCGAGGGAAAAGGGCTCAGTGAGGATTATTCGGAGCAGTGAGCTACCTTTTGAAATCTCATATTCATTCCAAAATAAATAGTTCAGTTATTTAGCTTGATCAATTTACCACAATCGAGGAGAAATACCAAATGTCAGTTTACAATAAACGTCCAGCTCACAGCAGCAATTCTCATGATTGTTTGCATTTTCAAACAATTCAGTTATCACACTCCACAGAATCTACTTTCTGACACTAAATCGAAATATTCTTGTGAAATGTAATTAATGTTGATTGACTGCACTCAACAGTTACAATAATCTGTTCTCTTCACAGCTGGTTATGGTTACGGTCTTGGAGGTAAGAATCAGAATTCACATTATCTCCTCCTTAAACCTACATCTGGGTCTCTACAGAGTTCTGCGACAGATCAGAGACCATTCTATGCCCCCAAAACACTCCTCGTAAATAGTATTTCCCTATCCTCTTTTGGTAAATACAGTAAATTCCTGATGAGGTGCTCTTTTGATAAATAAGTAAACTCATGACAAGTAAACCAGGGAAAAGGGCTCAGTGAGGACTTACTCGGAGCAGTGCGCTGCCTTTTGAAATCTGATCGGCATTTCAAAATGAACATTTCAGTTATTTAGCTTGGTCCATTTACCACAATCCACCAATAATACCAAATGTGAGATGACCATTAATGTCCAGCTCACAGCAGCAATTCTCATGATTGTTTGCATTTTCAAACAGTTCAGTTATCACACTCCACAGAATCTACTTTCTGACACTAAATCGAAATACTGTTGTGAAATGTGAAGTGATGTTGATTGACGGCACTTAACAGTTACTAAAATCTGTTCTCTTCACAGCTGGTGTCGGTCTAGGAGGTAAGAATCAAAAGTCACAATATCTCTTATTCCACAATATTCCTGAGATGATATCCCCGATGTCAGTCGCACGCTCCTCACATCTCTGGTCAGACCGCTATCACCGGAGATAATCCTCTATCACTGCGGATAATCCTCTGTCACGAGTGATAATCTACTTTCTGGCACAAAATATCAATATTGTTATGAAATGTGAGGTGATGTTCATTCAGTCACAACTGTGAAGAGAACAGATACGATAATGTGTTCTCCTCACAGTTGTTCATGGTTACGGTCTTGGACGCAGGAATCAGAATGCACAATACCTTCCACCTTTTAAACCGATATCTGTCATTCCACAGAGTGCTGTGACAGATCACAAACTGTTCTATGCCCCCAAACACCGTGTGCAAATAGCATTTCCATATCCTCTTTTGGAAATCACAGTAAACTCCTGAGAAGGTGCTCTTTTGATAAATAAGAAAACTCCTGACAAGTCAACTTGTGACATCGAGGGAAAAGGGCTCAGTGTCGTGAAATGTGAAGTGATGTTGATTGACGGCACTTAACAGTTACCAAAATCTCTTCTCTTCACAGCTGGTGTCGGAGTCGGAAGTAAGATTCAAAAGTCACTATATCTCTTATTCCACTATATTCCTGAGATGATATCCCCAGATGTCATTCGCACGGTCCGCACATCTCTCGTCAGACCGCTATCACCCGGAATAATCCTCTGTCACTAGTGATAATCTACTTTCTGGCACAAAATATCAATATTGTTATGAAATGTGAGGTGATGTTCATTCAGTCACAACTGGGAAGAGAACAGATACCATAATCCGTTCTACTCACAGTTGGTTATGGTTACGGTCTTGGACGTAGGAATCAGAATTCACAATGTCTCCTGCCTTAAACCTATATCTGACATTCTACAGAGTTCTGCAACACATCACAGACCATTCTATGCCTCCAAAACAGTCTGTAACTAGCGTTTCCCTATCCTCTTTATGTAAACAAGTAAACTCCTGACAAGTAAACTTGTGGCATTGAGGAAAAAATGGCTCAGCGAGGACTAAGTCAGAGTAGTGAGCTTCTTCCTTTTGAAATCTGATAGGCATTTCAAAATAAATATTTCAGTTATTTAGCTTGATCAATTTACCACAATCGAGGAGAAATACCAAATGTCAGTTTACAATAAACGTCCAGCTCACAGCAGCAATTCTCATGATTGTTTGCATTTTCAAACAATTCAGTTATCACACTCCACAGAATCTACTTTCTGACACTAAATCGAAATATTCTTGTGAAATGTAATTAATGTTGATTGACTGCACTCAACAGTTACAATAATCTGTTCTCTTCACAGCTGGTTATGGTTACGGTCTTGGAGGTAAGAATCAGAATTCACATTATCTCCTCCTTAAACCTACATCTGGGTCTCTACAGAGTTCTGCGACAGATCAGAGACCATTCTATGCCCCCAAAACACTCCTCGTAAATAGTATTTCCCTATCCTCTTTTGGTAAATACAGTAAATTCCTGATGAGGTGCTCTTTTGATAAATAAGTAAACTCATGACAAGTAAACCAGGGAAAAGGGCTCAGTGAGGACTTACTCGGAGCAGTGCGCTGCCTTTTGAAATCTGATCGGCATTTCAAAATAAACATTTCAGTTATTTAGCTTGGTCCATTTACCACAATCCACCAATAATACCAAATGTGAGATGACCATTAATGTCCAGCTCACAGCAGCAATTCTCATGATTGTTTGCATTTTCAAACAGTTCAGTTATCACACTCCACAGAATCTACTTTCTGACACTAAATCGAAATAATGTTGTGAAATGTGAAGTGATGTTGATTGACGGCACTTAACAGTTACTAAAATCTGTTCTCTTCACAGCTGGTGTCGGTCTAGGAGGTAAGAATCAAAAGTCACAATATCTCTTATTCCACAATATTCCTGAGATGATATCCCCGATGTCAGTCGCACGCTCCTCACATCTCTGGTCAGACCGCTATCACCGGAGATAATCCTCTATCACTGCGGATAATCCTCTGTCACGAGTGATAATCTACTTTCTGGCACAAAATATCAATATTGTTATGAAATGTGAGGTGATGTTCATTCAGTCACAACTGGGAAGAGAACAGATACGATAATGTGTTCTCCTCACAGTTGGTTATGGTTACGGTCTTGGACGCAGGAATCAGAATGCACAATACCTTCCACCTTTTAAACCGATATCTGTCATTCCACAGAGTGCTGTGACAGATCACAAACTGTTCTATGCCCCCAAACACCGTGTGCAAATAGCATTTCCATATCCTCTTTTGGAAATCACAGTAAACTCCTGAGAAGGTGCTCTTTTGATAAATAAGAAAACTCCTGACAAGTCAACTTGTGACATCGAGGGAAAAGGGCTCAGTGTCGTGAAATGTGAAGTGATGTTGATTGACGGCACTTAACAGTTACCAAAATCTCTTCTCTTCACAGCTGGTGTCGGAGTCGGAAGTAAGATTCAAAAGTCACTATATCTCTTATTCCACTATATTCCTGAGATGATATCCCCAGATGTCATTCGCACGGTCCGCACATCTCTCGTCAGACCGCTATCACCCGGAATAATCCTCTGTCACTAGTGATAATCTACTTTCTGGCACAAAATATCAATATTGTTATGAAATGTGAGGTGATGTTCATTCAGTCACAACTGTGAAGAGAACAGATACTATAATCCGTTCTCCTCACAGTTGGTTATGGCTACTGTCTTGGACGTAGGAATCAGAATTCACAATGTCTCCTGCCTTAAACCTATATCTGACATTCTACAGAGTTCTGCAACACATCACAGACCATTCTATGCCTCCAAAACAGTCTGTAACTAGCGTTTCCCTATCCTCTTTATGTAAACAAGTAAACTCCTGACAAGTAAACTTGTGGCATTGAGGAAAAAATGGCTCAGCGAGGACTAAGTCAGAGTAGTGAGCTTCTTCCTTTTGAAATCTGATAGGCATTTCAAAATAAATATTTCAGTTATTTAGCTTGATCAATTTACCACAATCGACCAGTAATACCAAAGCTGAGTATACAATAAACATCCAGCTCACAGCAGCAATTCACATGAAATGTTTGAATTATCACACTCCACAGCATCTACTTTCTGGCAACTAAATAGAAATATTGTTTTGAAATGATGTGAATTGACTGCAATTAACAGTTACTATAACCTGTTCTCTTCACAGGTGGTCTCGGTCTAGGAGGTAAGAATCAAAAGTCACAATATCTCTTTTGGAAAACACAGTAAACTCCTGAAAAGGTGCTCTTTTGATAAATAAGTAAACTCCTGACAAGTAAACTTGGGCATCGAGGGAAAAGGGCTCAGTGAGGATTATTCGGAGCAGTGAGCTACCTTTTGAAATCTCATATTCATTCCAAAATAAATAGTTCAGTTATTTAGCTTGATCAATTTACCACAATCGAGGAGAAATACCAAATGTCAGTTTACAATAAACGTCCAGCTCACAGCAGCAATTCTCATGATTGTTTGCATTTTCAAACAATTCAGTTATCACACTCCACAGAATCTACTTTCTGACACTAAATCGAAATATTCTTGTGAAATGTAATTAATGTTGATTGACTGCACTCAACAGTTACAATAATCTGTTCTCTTCACAGCTGGTTATGGTTACGGTCTTGGAGGTAAGAATCAGAATTCACATTATCTCCTCCTTAAACCTACATCTGGGTCTCTACAGAGTTCTGCGACAGATCAGAGACCATTCTATGCCCCCAAAACACTCCTCGTAAATAGTATTTCCCTATCCTCTTTTGGTAAATACAGTAAATTCCTGATGAGGTGCTCTTTTGATAAATAAGTAAACTCATGACAAGTAAACCAGGGAAAAGGGCTCAGTGAGGACTTACTCGGAGCAGTGCGCTGCCTTTTGAAATCTGATCGGCATTTCAAAATAAACATTTCAGTTATTTAGCTTGGTCCATTTACCACAATCCACCAATAATACCAAATGTGAGATGACCATTAATGTCCAGCTCACAGCAGCAATTCTCATGATTGTTTGCATTTTCAAACAGTTCAGTTATCACACTCCACAGAATCTACTTTCTGACACTAAATCGAAATACTGTTGTGAAATGTGAAGTGATGTTGATTGACGGCACTTAACAGTTACTAAAATCTGTTCTCTTCACAGCTGGTGTCGGTCTAGGAGGTAAGAATCAAAAGTCACAATATCTCTTATTCCACAATATTCCTGAGATGATATCCCCGATGTCAGTCGCACGCTCCTCACATCTCTGGTCAGACCGCTATCACCGGAGATAATCCTCTATCACTGCTGATAATCCTCTGTCACGAGAGATAATCTACTTTCTGGCACAAAATATCAATATTGTTATGAAATGTGAGGTGATGTTCATTCAGTCACAACTGTGAAGAGAACAGATACGATAATGTGTTCTCCTCACAGTTGGTTATGGTTACGGTCTTGGACGCAGGAATCAGAATGCACAATACCTTCCACCTTTTAAACCGATATCTGTCATTCCACAGAGTGCTGTGACAGATCACAAACTGTTCTATGCCCCCAAACACCGTGTGCAAATAGCATTTCCATATCCTCTTTTGGAAATCACAGTAAACTCCTGAGAAGGTGCTCTTTTGATAAATAAGAAAACTCCTGACAAGTCAACTTGTGACATCGAGGGAAAAGGGCTCAGTGTCGTGAAATGTGAAGTGATGTTGATTGACGGCACTTAACAGTTACCAAAATCTCTTCTCTTCACAGCTGGTGTCGGAGTCGGAAGTAAGATTCAAAAGTCACTATATCTCTTATTCCACTATATTCCTGAGATGATATCCCCAGATGTCATTCGCACGGTCCGCACATCTCTCGTCAGACCGCTATCACCCGGAATAATCCTCTGTCACTAGTGATAATCTACTTTCTGGCACAAAATATCAATATTGTTATGAAATGTGAGGTGATGTTCATTCAGTCACAACTGTGAAGAGAACAGATACTATAATCCGTTCTCCTCACAGTTGGTTATGGTTACTGTCTTGGACGTAGGAATCAGAATTCACAATGTCTCCTGCCTTAAACCTATATCTGACATTCTACAGAGTTCTGCAACACATCACAGACCATTCTATGCCTCCAAAACAGTCTGTAACTAGCGTTTCCCTATCCTCTTTATGTAAACAAGTAAACTCCTGACAAGTAAACTTGTGGCATTGAGGAAAAAATGGCTCAGCGAGGACTAAGTCAGAGTAGTGAGCTTCTTCCTTTTGAAATCTGATAGGCATTTCAAAATAAATATTTCAGTTATTTAGCTTGATCAATTTACCACAATCGACCAGTAATACCAAAGCTGAGTATACAATAAACATCCAGCTCACAGCAGCAATTCACATGAAATGTTTGAATTATCACACTCCACAGCATCTACTTTCTGGCAACTAAATAGAAATATTGTTTTGAAATGATGTGAATTGACTGCAATTAACAGTTACTATAATCTGTTCTCTTCACAGGTGGTCTCGGTCTAGGAGGTAAGAATCAAAAGTCACAATATCTCTTTTGGAAAACACAGTAAACTCCTGAAAAGGTGCTCTTTTGATAAATAAGTAAACTCCTGACAAGTAAACTTGGGCATCGAGGGAAAAGGGCTCAGTGAGGATTATTCGGAGCAGTGAGCTACCTTTTGAAATCTCATATTCATTCCAAAATAAATAAATAAATCAGTTACTAAAATCTGTTCTCTTCACAGCTGGTGTCGGTCTAGGAGGTAAGAATCAAAAGTCACAATATCTCTTATTCCACAATATTCCTGAGATGATATCCCCGATGTCAGTCGCACGCTCCTCACATCTCTGGTCAGACCGCTATCACCGGAGATAATCCTCTATCACTGCGGATAATCCTCTGTCACGAGTGATAATCTACTTTCTGGCACAAAATATCAATATTGTTATGAAATGTGAGGTGATGTTCATTCAGTCACAACTGGGAAGAGAACAGATACGATAATGTGTTCTCCTCACAGTTGGTTATGGTTACGGTCTTGGACGCAGGAATCAGAATGCACAATACCTTCCACCTTTTAAACCGATATCTGTCATTCCACAGAGTGCTGTGACAGATCACAAACTGTTCTATGCCCCCAAACACCGTGTGCAAATAGCATTTCCATATCCTCTTTTGGAAATCACAGTAAACTCCTGAGAAGGTGCTCTTTTGATAAATAAGAAAACTCCTGACAAGTCAACTTGTGACATCGAGGGAAAAGGGCTCAGTGTCGTGAAATGTGAAGTGATGTTGATTGACGGCACTTAACAGTTACCAAAATCTCTTCTCTTCACAGCTGGTGTCGGAGTCGGAAGTAAGATTCAAAAGTCACTATATCTCTTATTCCACTATATTCCTGAGATGATATCCCCAGATGTCATTCGCACGGTCCGCACATCTCTCGTCAGACCGCTATCACCCGGAATAATCCTCTGTCACTAGTGATAATCTACTTTCTGGCACAAAATATCAATATTGTTATGAAATGTGAGGTGATGTTCATTCAGTCACAACTGGGAAGAGAACAGATACGATAATGTGTTCTCCTCACAGTTGTTCATGGTTACGGTCTTGGACGCAGGAATCAGAATGCACAATACCTTCCACCTTTTAAACCGATATCTGTCATTCCACAGAGTGCTGTGACAGATCACAAACTGTTCTATGCCCCCAAACACCGTGTGCAAATAGCATTTCCATATCCTCTTTTGGAAATCACAGTAAACTCCTGAGAAGGTGCTCTTTTGATAAATAAGAAAACTCCTGACAAGTCAACTTGTGACATCGAGGGAAAAGGGCTCAGTGTCGTGAAATGTGAAGTGATGTTGATTGACGGCACTTAACAGTTACCAAAATCTCTTCTCTTCACAGCTGGTGTCGGAGTCGGAAGTAAGATTCAAAAGTCACTATATCTCTTATTCCACTATATTCCTGAGATGATATCCCCAGATGTCATTCGCACGGTCCGCACATCTCTCGTCAGACCGCTATCACCCGGAATAATCCTCTGTCACTAGTGATAATCTACTTTCTGGCACAAAATATCAATATTGTTATGAAATGTGAGGTGATGTTCATTCAGTCACAACTGTGAAGAGAACAGATACTATAATCCGTTCTCCTCACAGTTGGTTATGGCTACTGTCTTGGACGTAGGAATCAGAATTCACAATGTCTCCTGCCTTAAACCTATATCTGACATTCTACAGAGTTCTGCAACACATCACAGACCATTCTATGCCTCCAAAACAGTCTGTAACTAGCGTTTCCCTATCCTCTTTATGTAAACAAGTAAACTCCTGACAAGTAAACTTGCGGCATTGAGGAAAAAATGGCTCAGCGAGGACTAAGTCAGAGTAGTGAGCTTCTTCCTTTTGAAATCTGATAGGCATTTCAAAATAAATATTTCAGTTATTTAGCTTGATCAATTTACCACAATCGACCAGTAATACCAAAGCTGAGTATACAATAAACATCCAGCTCACAGCAGCAATTCACATGAAATGTTTGAATTATCACACTCCACAGCATCTACTTTCTGGCAACTAAATAGAAATATTGTTTTGAAATGATGTGAATTGACTGCAATTAACAGTTACTATAACCTGTTCTCTTCACAGGTGGTCTCGGTCTAGGAGGTAAGAATCAAAAGTCACAATATCTCTTTTGGAAAACACAGTAAACTCCTGAAAAGGTGCTCTTTTGATAAATAAGTAAACTCCTGACAAGTAAACTTGGGCATCGAGGGAAAAGGGCTCAGTGAGGATTATTCGGAGCAGTGAGCTACCTTTTGAAATCTCATATTCATTCCAAAATAAATAGTTCAGTTATTTAGCTTGATCAATTTACCACAATCGAGGAGAAATACCAAATGTCAGTTTACAATAAACGTCCAGCTCACAGCAGCAATTCTCATGATTGTTTGCATTTTCAAACAATTCAGTTATCACACTCCACAGAATCTACTTTCTGACACTAAATCGAAATATTCTTGTGAAATGTAATTAATGTTGATTGACTGCACTCAACAGTTACAATAATCTGTTCTCTTCACAGCTGGTTATGGTTACGGTCTTGGAGGTAAGAATCAGAATTCACATTATCTCCTCCTTAAACCTACATCTGGGTCTCTACAGAGTTCTGCGACAGATCAGAGACCATTCTATGCCCCCAAAACACTCCTCGTAAATAGTATTTCCCTATCCTCTTTTGGTAAATACAGTAAATTCCTGATGAGGTGCTCTTTTGATAAATAAGTAAACTCATGACAAGTAAACCAGGGAAAAGGGCTCAGTGAGGACTTACTCGGAGCAGTGCGCTGCCTTTTGAAATCTGATCGGCATTTCAAAATAAACATTTCAGTTATTTAGCTTGGTCCATTTACCACAATCCACCAATAATACCAAATGTGAGATGACCATTAATGTCCAGCTCACAGCAGCAATTCTCATGATTGTTTGCATTTTCAAACAGTTCAGTTATCACACTCCACAGAATCTACTTTCTGACACTAAATCGAAATAATGTTGTGAAATGTGAAGTGATGTTGATTGACGGCACTTAACAGTTACTAAAATCTGTTCTCTTCACAGCTGGTGTCGGTCTAGGAGGTAAGAATCAAAAGTCACAATATCTCTTATTCCACAATATTCCTGAGATGATATCCCCGATGTCAGTCGCACGCTCCTCACATCTCTGGTCAGACCGCTATCACCGGAGATAATCCTCTATCACTGCGGATAATCCTCTGTCACGAGTGATAATCTACTTTCTGGCACAAAATATCAATATTGTTATGAAATGTGAGGTGATGTTCATTCAGTCACAACTGGGAAGAGAACAGATACGATAATGTGTTCTCCTCACAGTTGTTCATGGTTACGGTCTTGGACGCAGGAATCAGAATGCACAATACCTTCCACCTTTTAAACCGATATCTGTCATTCCACAGAGTGCTGTGACAGATCACAAACTGTTCTATGCCCCCAAACACCGTGTGCAAATAGCATTTCCATATCCTCTTTTGGAAATCACAGTAAACTCCTGAGAAGGTGCTCTTTTGATAAATAAGAAAACTCCTGACAAGTCAACTTGTGACATCGAGGGAAAAGGGCTCAGTGTCGTGAAATGTGAAGTGATGTTGATTGACGGCACTTAACAGTTACCAAAATCTCTTCTCTTCACAGCTGGTGTCGGAGTCGGAAGTAAGATTCAAAAGTCACTATATCTCTTATTCCACTATATTCCTGAGATGATATCCCCAGATGTCATTCGCACGGTCCGCACATCTCTCGTCAGACCGCTATCACCCGGAATAATCCTCTGTCACTAGTGATAATCTACTTTCTGGCACAAAATATCAATATTGTTATGAAATGTGAGGTGATGTTCATTCAGTCACAACTGTGAAGAGAACAGATACTATAATCCGTTCTCCTCACAGTTGGTTATGGCTACTGTCTTGGACGTAGGAATCAGAATTCACAATGTCTCCTGCCTTAAACCTATATCTGACATTCTACAGAGTTCTGCAACACATCACAGACCATTCTATGCCTCCAAAACAGTCTGTAACTAGCGTTTCCCTATCCTCTTTATGTAAACAAGTAAACTCCTGACAAGTAAACTTGCGGCATTGAGGAAAAAATGGCTCAGCGAGGACTAAGTCAGAGTAGTGAGCTTCTTCCTTTTGAAATCTGATAGGCATTTCAAAATAAATATTTCAGTTATTTAGCTTGATCAATTTACCACAATCGACCAGTAATACCAAAGCTGAGTATACAATAAACATCCAGCTCACAGCAGCAATTCACATGAAATGTTTGAATTATCACACTCCACAGCATCTACTTTCTGGCAACTAAATAGAAATATTGTTTTGAAATGATGTGAATTGACTGCAATTAACAGTTACTATAACCTGTTCTCTTCACAGGTGGTCTCGGTCTAGGAGGTAAGAATCAAAAGTCACAATATCTCTTTTGGAAAACACAGTAAACTCCTGAAAAGGTGCTCTTTTGATAAATAAGTAAACTCCTGACAAGTAAACTTGGGCATCGAGGGAAAAGGGCTCAGTGAGGATTATTCGGAGCAGTGAGCTACCTTTTGAAATCTCATATTCATTCCAAAATAAATAGTTCAGTTATTTAGCTTGATCAATTTACCACAATCGAGGAGAAATACCAAATGTCAGTTTACAATAAACGTCCAGCTCACAGCAGCAATTCTCATGATTGTTTGCATTTTCAAACAATTCAGTTATCACACTCCACAGAATCTACTTTCTGACACTAAATCGAAATATTCTTGTGAAATGTAATTAATGTTGATTGACTGCACTCAACAGTTACAATAATCTGTTCTCTTCACAGCTGGTTATGGTTACGGTCTTGGAGGTAAGAATCAGAATTCACATTATCTCCTCCTTAAACCTACATCTGGGTCTCTACAGAGTTCTGCGACAGATCAGAGACCATTCTATGCCCCCAAAACACTCCTCGTAAATAGTATTTCCCTATCCTCTTTTGGTAAATACAGTAAATTCCTGATGAGGTGCTCTTTTGATAAATAAGTAAACTCATGACAAGTAAACCAGGGAAAAGGGCTCAGTGAGGACTTACTCGGAGCAGTGCGCTGCCTTTTGAAATCTGATCGGCATTTCAAAATAAACATTTCAGTTATTTAGCTTGGTCCATTTACCACAATCCACCAATAATACCAAATGTGAGATGACCATTAATGTCCAGCTCACAGCAGCAATTCTCATGATTGTTTGCATTTTCAAACAGTTCAGTTATCACACTCCACAGAATCTACTTTCTGACACTAAATCGAAATAATGTTGTGAAATGTGAAGTGATGTTGATTGACGGCACTTAACAGTTACTAAAATCTGTTCTCTTCACAGCTGGTGTCGGTCTAGGAGGTAAGAATCAAAAGTCACAATATCTCTTATTCCACAATATTCCTGAGATGATATCCCCGATGTCAGTCGCACGCTCCTCACATCTCTGGTCAGACCGCTATCACCGGAGATAATCCTCTATCACTGCGGATAATCCTCTGTCACGAGTGATAATCTACTTTCTGGCACAAAATATCAATATTGTTATGAAATGTGAGGTGATGTTCATTCAGTCACAACTGGGAAGAGAACAGATACGATAATGTGTTCTCCTCACAGTTGTTCATGGTTACGGTCTTGGACGCAGGAATCAGAATGCACAATACCTTCCACCTTTTAAACCGATATCTGTCATTCCACAGAGTGCTGTGACAGATCACAAACTGTTCTATGCCCCCAAACACCGTGTGCAAATAGCATTTCCATATCCTCTTTTGGAAATCACAGTAAACTCCTGAGAAGGTGCTCTTTTGATAAATAAGAAAACTCCTGACAAGTCAACTTGTGACATCGAGGGAAAAGGGCTCAGTGTCGTGAAATGTGAAGTGATGTTGATTGACGGCACTTAACAGTTACCAAAATCTCTTCTCTTCACAGCTGGTGTCGGAGTCGGAAGTAAGATTCAAAAGTCACTATATCTCTTATTCCACTATATTCCTGAGATGATATCCCCAGATGTCATTCGCACGGTCCGCACATCTCTCGTCAGACCGCTATCACCCGGAATAATCCTCTGTCACTAGTGATAATCTACTTTCTGGCACAAAATATCAATATTGTTATGAAATGTGAGGTGATGTTCATTCAGTCACAACTGTGAAGAGAACAGATACTATAATCCGTTCTCCTCACAGTTGGTTATGGCTACTGTCTTGGACGTAGGAATCAGAATTCACAATGTCTCCTGCCTTAAACCTATATCTGACATTCTACAGAGTTCTGCAACACATCACAGACCATTCTATGCCTCCAAAACAGTCTGTAACTAGCGTTTCCCTATCCTCTTTATGTAAACAAGTAAACTCCTGACAAGTAAACTTGTGGCATTGAGGAAAAAATGGCTCAGCGAGGACTAAGTCAGAGTAGTGAGCTTCTTCCTTTTGAAATCTGATAGGCATTTCAAAATAAATATTTCAGTTATTTAGCTTGATCAATTTACCACAATCGACCAGTAATACCAAAGCTGAGTATACAATAAACATCCAGCTCACAGCAGCAATTCACATGAAATGTTTGAATTATCACACTCCACAGCATCTACTTTCTGGCAACTAAATAGAAATATTGTTTTGAAATGATGTGAATTGACTGCAATTAACAGTTACTATAACCTGTTCTCTTCACAGGTGGTCTCGGTCTAGGAGGTAAGAATCAAAAGTCACAATATCTCTTTTGGAAAACACAGTAAACTCCTGAAAAGGTGCTCTTTTGATAAATAAGTAAACTCCTGACAAGTAAACTTGGGCATCGAGGGAAAAGGGCTCAGTGAGGATTATTCGGAGCAGTGAGCTACCTTTTGAAATCTCATATTCATTCCAAAATAAATAGTTCAGTTATTTAGCTTGATCAATTTACCACAATCGAGGAGAAATACCAAATGTCAGTTTACAATAAACGTCCAGCTCACAGCAGCAATTCTCATGATTGTTTGCATTTTCAAACAATTCAGTTATCACACTCCACAGAATCTACTTTCTGACACTAAATCGAAATATTCTTGTGAAATGTAATTAATGTTGATTGACTGCACTCAACAGTTACAATAATCTGTTCTCTTCACAGCTGGTTATGGTTACGGTCTTGGAGGTAAGAATCAGAATTCACATTATCTCCTCCTTAAACCTACATCTGGGTCTCTACAGAGTTCTGCGACAGATCAGAGACCATTCTATGCCCCCAAAACACTCCTCGTAAATAGTATTTCCCTATCCTCTTTTGGTAAATACAGTAAATTCCTGATGAGGTGCTCTTTTGATAAATAAGTAAACTCATGACAAGTAAACCAGGGAAAAGGGCTCAGTGAGGACTTACTCGGAGCAGTGCGCTACCTTTTGAAATCTGATCGGCATTTCAAAATAAACATTTCAGTTATTTAGCTTGGTCCATTTACCACAATCCACCAATAATACCAAATGTGAGATGACCATTAATGTCCAGCTCACAGCAGCAATTCTCATGATTGTTTGCATTTTCAAACAGTTCAGTTATCACACTCCACAGAATCTACTTTCTGACACTAAATCGAAATAATGTTGTGAAATGTGAAGTGATGTTGATTGACGGCACTTAACAGTTACTAAAATCTGTTCTCTTCACAGCTGGTGTCGGTCTAGGAGGTAAGAATCAAAAGTCACAATATCTCTTATTCCACAATATTCCTGAGATGATATCCCCGATGTCAGTCGCACGCTCCTCACATCTCTGGTCAGACCGCTATCACCGGAGATAATCCTCTATCACTGCGGATAATCCTCTGTCACGAGTGATAATCTACTTTCTGGCACAAAATATCAATATTGTTATGAAATGTGAGGTGATGTTCATTCAGTCACAACTGGGAAGAGAACAGATACGATAATGTGTTCTCCTCACAGTTGTTCATGGTTACGGTCTTGGACGCAGGAATCAGAATGCACAATACCTTCCACCTTTTAAACCGATATCTGTCATTCCACAGAGTGCTGTGACAGATCACAAACTGTTCTATGCCCCCAAACACCGTGTGCAAATAGCATTTCCATATCCTCTTTTGGAAATCACAGTAAACTCCTGAGAAGGTGCTCTTTTGATAAATAAGAAAACTCCTGACAAGTCAACTTGTGACATCGAGGGAAAAGGGCTCAGTGTCGTGAAATGTGAAGTGATGTTGATTGACGGCACTTAACAGTTACCAAAATCTCTTCTCTTCACAGCTGGTGTCGGAGTCGGAAGTAAGATTCAAAAGTCACTATATCTCTTATTCCACTATATTCCTGAGATGATATCCCCAGATGTCATTCGCACGGTCCGCACATCTCTCGTCAGACCGCTATCACCCGGAATAATCCTCTGTCACTAGTGATAATCTACTTTCTGGCACAAAATATCAATATTGTTATGAAATGTGAGGTGATGTTCATTCAGTCACAACTGTGAAGAGAACAGATACTATAATCCGTTCTCCTCACAGTTGGTTATGGCTACTGTCTTGGACGTAGGAATCAGAATTCACAATGTCTCCTGCCTTAAACCTATATCTGACATTCTACAGAGTTCTGCAACACATCACAGACCATTCTATGCCTCCAAAACAGTCTGTAACTAGCGTTTCCCTATCCTCTTTATGTAAACAAGTAAACTCCTGACAAGTAAACTTGTGGCATTGAGGAAAAAATGGCTCAGCGAGGACTAAGTCAGAGTAGTGAGCTTCTTCCTTTTGAAATCTGATAGGCATTTCAAAATAAATATTTCAGTTATTTAGCTTGATCAATTTACCACAATCGACCAGTAATACCAAAGCTGAGTATACAATAAACATCCAGCTCACAGCAGCAATTCACATGAAATGTTTGAATTATCACACTCCACAGCATCTACTTTCTGGCAACTAAATAGAAATATTGTTTTGAAATGATGTGAATTGACTGCAATTAACAGTTACTATAACCTGTTCTCTTCACAGGTGGTCTCGGTCTAGGAGGTAAGAATCAAAAGTCACAATATCTCTTTTGGAAAACACAGTAAACTCCTGAAAAGGTGCTCTTTTGATAAATAAGTAAACTCCTGACAAGTAAACTTGGGCATCGAGGGAAAAGGGCTCAGTGAGGATTATTCGGAGCAGTGAGCTACCTTTTGAAATCTCATATTCATTCCAAAATAAATAGTTCAGTTATTTAGCTTGATCAATTTACCACAATCGAGGAGAAATACCAAATGTCAGTTTACAATAAACGTCCAGCTCACAGCAGCAATTCTCATGATTGTTTGCATTTTCAAACAATTCAGTTATCACACTCCACAGAATCTACTTTCTGACACTAAATCGAAATATTCTTGTGAAATGTAATTAATGTTGATTGACTGCACTCAACAGTTACAATAATCTGTTCTCTTCACAGCTGGTTATGGTTACGGTCTTGGAGGTAAGAATCAGAATTCACATTATCTCCTCCTTAAACCTACATCTGGGTCTCTACAGAGTTCTGCGACAGATCAGAGACCATTCTATGCCCCCAAAACACTCCTCGTAAATAGTATTTCCCTATCCTCTTTTGGTAAATACAGTAAATTCCTGATGAGGTGCTCTTTTGATAAATAAGTAAACTCATGACAAGTAAACCAGGGAAAAGGGCTCAGTGAGGACTTACTCGGAGCAGTGCGCTACCTTTTGAAATCTGATCGGCATTTCAAAATAAACATTTCAGTTATTTAGCTTGGTCCATTTACCACAATCCACCAATAATACCAAATGTGAGATGACCATTAATGTCCAGCTCACAGCAGCAATTCTCATGATTGTTTGCATTTTCAAACAGTTCAGTTATCACACTCCACAGAATCTACTTTCTGACACTAAATCGAAATAATGTTGTGAAATGTGAAGTGATGTTGATTGACGGCACTTAACAGTTACTAAAATCTGTTCTCTTCACAGCTGGTGTCGGTCTAGGAGGTAAGAATCAAAAGTCACAATATCTCTTATTCCACAATATTCCTGAGATGATATCCCCGATGTCAGTCGCACGCTCCTCACATCTCTGGTCAGACCGCTATCACCGGAGATAATCCTCTATCACTGCGGATAATCCTCTGTCACGAGTGATAATCTACTTTCTGGCACAAAATATCAATATTGTTATGAAATGTGAGGTGATGTTCATTCAGTCACAACTGGGAAGAGAACAGATACGATAATGTGTTCTCCTCACAGTTGTTCATGGTTACGGTCTTGGACGCAGGAATCAGAATGCACAATACCTTCCACCTTTTAAACCGATATCTGTCATTCCACAGAGTGCTGTGACAGATCACAAACTGTTCTATGCCCCCAAACACCGTGTGCAAATAGCATTTCCATATCCTCTTTTGGAAATCACAGTAAACTCCTGAGAAGGTGCTCTTTTGATAAATAAGAAAACTCCTGACAAGTCAACTTGTGACATCGAGGGAAAAGGGCTCAGTGTCGTGAAATGTGAAGTGATGTTGATTGACGGCACTTAACAGTTACCAAAATCTCTTCTCTTCACAGCTGGTGTCGGAGTCGGAAGTAAGATTCAAAAGTCACTATATCTCTTATTCCACTATATTCCTGAGATGATATCCCCAGATGTCATTCGCACGGTCCGCACATCTCTCGTCAGACCGCTATCACCCGGAATAATCCTCTGTCACTAGTGATAATCTACTTTCTGGCACAAAATATCAATATTGTTATGAAATGTGAGGTGATGTTCATTCAGTCACAACTGTGAAGAGAACAGATACTATAATCCGTTCTCCTCACAGTTGGTTATGGCTACTGTCTTGGACGTAGGAATCAGAATTCACAATGTCTCCTGCCTTAAACCTATATCTGACATTCTACAGAGTTCTGCAACACATCACAGACCATTCTATGCCTCCAAAACAGTCTGTAACTAGCGTTTCCCTATCCTCTTTATGTAAACAAGTAAACTCCTGACAAGTAAACTTGCGGCATTGAGGAAAAAATGGCTCAGCGAGGACTAAGTCAGAGTAGTGAGCTTCTTCCTTTTGAAATCTGATAGGCATTTCAAAATAAATATTTCAGTTATTTAGCTTGATCAATTTACCACAATCGACCAGTAATACCAAAGCTGAGTATACAATAAACATCCAGCTCACAGCAGCAATTCACATGAAATGTTTGAATTATCACACTCCACAGCATCTACTTTCTGGCAACTAAATAGAAATATTGTTTTGAAATGATGTGAATTGACTGCAATTAACAGTTACTATAACCTGTTCTCTTCACAGGTGGTCTCGGTCTAGGAGGTAAGAATCAAAAGTCACAATATCTCTTTTGGAAAACACAGTAAACTCCTGAAAAGGTGCTCTTTTGAAAAATAAGTAAACTCCTGACAAGTAAACTTGGGCATCGAGGGAAAAGGGCTCAGTGAGGATTATTCGGAGCAGTGAGCTACCTTTTGAAATCTCATATTCATTCCAAAATAAATAGTTCAGTTATTTAGCTTGATCAATTTACCACAATCGAGGAGAAATACCAAATGTCAGTTTACAATAAACGTCCAGCTCACAGCAGCAATTCTCATGATTGTTTGCATTTTCAAACAATTCAGTTATCACACTCCACAGAATCTACTTTCTGACACTAAATCGAAATATTCTTGTGAAATGTAATTAATGTTGATTGACTGCACTCAACAGTTACAATAATCTGTTCTCTTCACAGCTGGTTATGGTTACGGTCTTGGAGGTAAGAATCAGAATTCACATTATCTCCTCCTTAAACCTACATCTGGGTCTCTACAGAGTTCTGCGACAGATCAGAGACCATTCTATGCCCCCAAAACACTCCTCGTAAATAGTATTTCCCTATCCTCTTTTGGTAAATACAGTAAATTCCTGATGAGGTGCTCTTTTGATAAATAAGTAAACTCATGACAAGTAAACCAGGGAAAAGGGCTCAGTGAGGACTTACTCGGAGCAGTGCGCTGCCTTTTGAAATCTGATCGGCATTTCAAAATAAACATTTCAGTTATTTAGCTTGGTCCATTTACCACAATCCACCAATAATACCAAATGTGAGATGACCATTAATGTCCAGCTCACAGCAGCAATTCTCATGATTGTTTGCATTTTCAAACAGTTCAGTTATCACACTCCACAGAATCTACTTTCTGACACTAAATCGAAATAATGTTGTGAAATGTGAAGTGATGTTGATTGACGGCACTTAACAGTTACTAAAATCTGTTCTCTTCACAGCTGGTGTCGGTCTAGGAGGTAAGAATCAAAAGTCACAATATCTCTTATTCCACAATATTCCTGAGATGATATCCCCGATGTCAGTCGCACGCTCCTCACATCTCTGGTCAGACCGCTATCACCGGAGATAATCCTCTATCACTGCGGATAATCCTCTGTCACGAGTGATAATCTACTTTCTGGCACAAAATATCAATATTGTTATGAAATGTGAGGTGATGTTCATTCAGTCACAACTGGGAAGAGAACAGATACGATAATGTGTTCTCCTCACAGTTGTTCATGGTTACGGTCTTGGACGCAGGAATCAGAATGCACAATACCTTCCACCTTTTAAACCGATATCTGTCATTCCACAGAGTGCTGTGACAGATCACAAACTGTTCTATGCCCCCAAACACCGTGTGCAAATAGCATTTCCATATCCTCTTTTGGAAATCACAGTAAACTCCTGAGAAGGTGCTCTTTTGATAAATAAGAAAACTCCTGACAAGTCAACTTGTGACATCGAGGGAAAAGGGCTCAGTGTCGTGAAATGTGAAGTGATGTTGATTGACGGCACTTAACAGTTACCAAAATCTCTTCTCTTCACAGCTGGTGTCGGAGTCGGAAGTAAGATTCAAAAGTCACTATATCTCTTATTCCACTATATTCCTGAGATGATATCCCCAGATGTCATTCGCACGGTCCGCACATCTCTCGTCAGACCGCTATCACCCGGAATAATCCTCTGTCACTAGTGATAATCTACTTTCTGGCACAAAATATCAATATTGTTATGAAATGTGAGGTGATGTTCATTCAGTCACAACTGTGAAGAGAACAGATACTATAATCCGTTCTCCTCACAGTTGGTTATGGCTACTGTCTTGGACGTAGGAATCAGAATTCACAATGTCTCCTGCCTTAAACCTATATCTGACATTCTACAGAGTTCTGCAACACATCACAGACCATTCTATGCCTCCAAAACAGTCTGTAACTAGCGTTTCCCTATCCTCTTTATGTAAACAAGTAAACTCCTGACAAGTAAACTTGCGGCATTGAGGAAAAAATGGCTCAGCGAGGACTAAGTCAGAGTAGTGAGCTTCTTCCTTTTGAAATCTGATAGGCATTTCAAAATAAATATTTCAGTTATTTAGCTTGATCAATTTACCACAATCGACCAGTAATACCAAAGCTGAGTATACAATAAACATCCAGCTCACAGCAGCAATTCACATGAAATGTTTGAATTATCACACTCCACAGCATCTACTTTCTGGCAACTAAATAGAAATATTGTTTTGAAATGATGTGAATTGACTGCAATTAACAGTTACTATAACCTGTTCTCTTCACAGGTGGTCTCGGTCTAGGAGGTAAGAATCAAAAGTCACAATATCTCTTTTGGAAAACACAGTAAACTCCTGAAAAGGTGCTCTTTTGATAAATAAGTAAACTCCTGACAAGTAAACTTGGGCATCGAGGGAAAAGGGCTCAGTGAGGATTATTCGGAGCAGTGAGCTACCTTTTGAAATCTCATATTCATTCCAAAATAAATAGTTCAGTTATTTAGCTTGATCAATTTACCACAATCGAGGAGAAATACCAAATGTCAGTTTACAATAAACGTCCAGCTCACAGCAGCAATTCTCATGATTGTTTGCATTTTCAAACAATTCAGTTATCACACTCCACAGAATCTACTTTCTGACACTAAATCGAAATATTCTTGTGAAATGTAATTAATGTTGATTGACTGCACTCAACAGTTACAATAATCTGTTCTCTTCACAGCTGGTTATGGTTACGGTCTTGGAGGTAAGAATCAGAATTCACATTATCTCCTCCTTAAACCTACATCTGGGTCTCTACAGAGTTCTGCGACAGATCAGAGACCATTCTATGCCCCCAAAACACTCCTCGTAAATAGTATTTCCCTATCCTCTTTTGGTAAATACAGTAAATTCCTGATGAGGTGCTCTTTTGATAAATAAGTAAACTCATGACAAGTAAACCAGGGAAAAGGGCTCAGTGAGGACTTACTCGGAGCAGTGCGCTACCTTTTGAAATCTGATCGGCATTTCAAAATAAACATTTCAGTTATTTAGCTTGGTCCATTTACCACAATCCACCAATAATACCAAATGTGAGATGACCATTAATGTCCAGCTCACAGCAGCAATTCTCATGATTGTTTGCATTTTCAAACAGTTCAGTTATCACACTCCACAGAATCTACTTTCTGACACTAAATCGAAATAATGTTGTGAAATGTGAAGTGATGTTGATTGACGGCACTTAACAGTTACTAAAATCTGTTCTCTTCACAGCTGGTGTCGGTCTAGGAGGTAAGAATCAAAAGTCACAATATCTCTTATTCCACAATATTCCTGAGATGATATCCCCGATGTCAGTCGCACGCTCCTCACATCTCTGGTCAGACCGCTATCACCGGAGATAATCCTCTATCACTGCGGATAATCCTCTGTCACGAGTGATAATCTACTTTCTGGCACAAAATATCAATATTGTTATGAAATGTGAGGTGATGTTCATTCAGTCACAACTGGGAAGAGAACAGATACGATAATGTGTTCTCCTCACAGTTGTTCATGGTTACGGTCTTGGACGCAGGAATCAGAATGCACAATACCTTCCACCTTTTAAACCGATATCTGTCATTCCACAGAGTGCTGTGACAGATCACAAACTGTTCTATGCCCCCAAACACCGTGTGCAAATAGCATTTCCATATCCTCTTTTGGAAATCACAGTAAACTCCTGAGAAGGTGCTCTTTTGATAAATAAGAAAACTCCTGACAAGTCAACTTGTGACATCGAGGGAAAAGGGCTCAGTGTCGTGAAATGTGAAGTGATGTTGATTGACGGCACTTAACAGTTACCAAAATCTCTTCTCTTCACAGCTGGTGTCGGAGTCGGAAGTAAGATTCAAAAGTCACTATATCTCTTATTCCACTATATTCCTGAGATGATATCCCCAGATGTCATTCGCACGGTCCGCACATCTCTCGTCAGACCGCTATCACCCGGAATAATCCTCTGTCACTAGTGATAATCTACTTTCTGGCACAAAATATCAATATTGTTATGAAATGTGAGGTGATGTTCATTCAGTCACAACTGTGAAGAGAACAGATACTATAATCCGTTCTCCTCACAGTTGGTTATGGCTACTGTCTTGGACGTAGGAATCAGAATTCACAATGTCTCCTGCCTTAAACCTATATCTGACATTCTACAGAGTTCTGCAACACATCACAGACCATTCTATGCCTCCAAAACAGTCTGTAACTAGCGTTTCCCTATCCTCTTTATGTAAACAAGTAAACTCCTGACAAGTAAACTTGCGGCATTGAGGAAAAAATGGCTCAGCGAGGACTAAGTCAGAGTAGTGAGCTTCTTCCTTTTGAAATCTGATAGGCATTTCAAAATAAATATTTCAGTTATTTAGCTTGATCAATTTACCACAATCGACCAGTAATACCAAAGCTGAGTATACAATAAACATCCAGCTCACAGCAGCAATTCACATGAAATGTTTGAATTATCACACTCCACAGCATCTACTTTCTGGCAACTAAATAGAAATATTGTTTTGAAATGATGTGAATTGACTGCAATTAACAGTTACTATAACCTGTTCTCTTCACAGGTGGTCTCGGTCTAGGAGGTAAGAATCAAAAGTCACAATATCTCTTTTGGAAAACACAGTAAACTCCTGAAAAGGTGCTCTTTTGATAAATAAGTAAACTCCTGACAAGTAAACTTGGGCATCGAGGGAAAAGGGCTCAGTGAGGATTATTCGGAGCAGTGAGCTACCTTTTGAAATCTCATATTCATTCCAAAATAAATAGTTCAGTTATTTAGCTTGATCAATTTACCACAATCGAGGAGAAATACCAAATGTCAGTTTACAATAAACGTCCAGCTCACAGCAGCAATTCTCATGATTGTTTGCATTTTCAAACAATTCAGTTATCACACTCCACAGAATCTACTTTCTGACACTAAATCGAAATATTCTTGTGAAATGTAATTAATGTTGATTGACTGCACTCAACAGTTACAATAATCTGTTCTCTTCACAGCTGGTTATGGTTACGGTCTTGGAGGTAAGAATCAGAATTCACATTATCTCCTCCTTAAACCTACATCTGGGTCTCTACAGAGTTCTGCGACAGATCAGAGACCATTCTATGCCCCCAAAACACTCCTCGTAAATAGTATTTCCCTATCCTCTTTTGGTAAATACAGTAAATTCCTGATGAGGTGCTCTTTTGATAAATAAGTAAACTCATGACAAGTAAACCAGGGAAAAGGGCTCAGTGAGGACTTACTCGGAGCAGTGGAAATCTGATCGGCAGTTCAAAATAAACATTTCAGTTATTCAGCTTGGTCCATTCACCACAATCCACCAATAATACCAAATGTGAGATGACCATTAATGTCCAGCTCACAGCAGCAATTCTCATGATTGTTTGCATTTTCAAACAGTTCAGTTATCACACTCCACAGAATCTACTTTCTGACACTAAATCGAAATAATGTTGTGAAATGTGAAGTGATGTTGATTGACGGCACTTAACAGTTACTAAAATCTGTTCTCTTCACAGCTGGTGTCGGTCTAGGAGGTAAGAATCAAAAGTCACAATATCTCTTATTCCACAATATTCCTGAGATGATATCCCCGATGTCAGTCGCACGCTCCTCACATCTCTGGTCAGACCGCTATCACCGGAGATAATCCTCTATCACTGCGGATAATCCTCTGTCACGAGTGATAATCTACTTTCTGGCACAAAATATCAATATTGTTATGAAATGTGAGGTGATGTTCATTCAGTCACAACTGTGAAGAGAACAGATACGATAATGTGTTCTCCTCACAGTTGTTCATGGTTACGGTCTTGGACGCAGGAATCAGAATGCACAATACCTTCCACCTTTTAAACCGATATCTGTCATTCCACAGAGTGCTGTGACAGATCACAAACTGTTCTATGCCCCCAAACACCGTGTGCAAATAGCATTTCCATATCCTCTTTTGGAAATCACAGTAAACTCCTGAGAAGGTGCTCTTTTGATAAATAAGAAAACTCCTGACAAGTCAACTTGTGACATCGAGGGAAAAGGGCTCAGTGTCGTGAAATGTGAAGTGATGTTGATTGACGGCACTTAACAGTTACCAAAATCTCTTCTCTTCACAGCTGGTGTCGGAGTCGGAAGTAAGATTCAAAAGTCACTATATCTCTTATTCCACTATATTCCTGAGATGATATCCCCAGATGTCATTCGCACGGTCCGCACATCTCTCGTCAGACCGCTATCACCCGGAATAATCCTCTGTCACTAGTGATAATCTACTTTCTGGCACAAAATATCAATATTGTTATGAAATGTGAGGTGATGTTCATTCAGTCACAACTGTGAAGAGAACAGATACTATAATCCGTTCTCCTCACAGTTGGTTATGGCTACTGTCTTGGACGTAGGAATCAGAATTCACAATGTCTCCTGCCTTAAACCTATATCTGACATTCTACAGAGTTCTGCAACACATCACAGACCATTCTATGCCTCCAAAACAGTCTGTAACTAGCGTTTCCCTATCCTCTTTATGTAAACAAGTAAACTCCTGACAAGTAAACTTGCGGCATTGAGGAAAAAATGGCTCAGCGAGGACTAAGTCAGAGTAGTGAGCTTCTTCCTTTTGAAATCTAATAGGCATTTCAAAATAAATATTTCAGTTATTTAGCTTGATCAATTTACCACAATCGACCAGTAATACCAAAGCTGAGTATACAATAAACATCCAGCTCACAGCAGCAATTCACATGAAATGTTTGAATTATCACACTCCACAGCATCTACTTTCTGGCAACTAAATAGAAATATTGTTTTGAAATGATGTGAATTGACTGCAATTAACAGTTACTATAACCTGTTCTCTTCACAGGTGGTCTCGGTCTAGGAGGTAAGAATCAAAAGTCACAATATCTCTTTTGGAAAACACAGTAAACTCCTGAAAAGGTGCTCTTTTGATAAATAAGTAAACTCCTGACAAGTAAACTTGGGCATCGAGGGAAAAGGGCTCAGTGAGGATTATTCGGAGCAGTGAGCTACCTTTTGAAATCTCATATTCATTCCAAAATAAATAGTTCAGTTATTTAGCTTGATCAATTTACCACAATCGAGGAGAAATACCAAATGTCAGTTTACAATAAACGTCCAGCTCACAGCAGCAATTCTCATGATTGTTTGCATTTTCAAACAATTCAGTTATCACACTCCACAGAATCTACTTTCTGACACTAAATCGAAATATTCTTGTGAAATGTAATTAATGTTGATTGACTGCACTCAACAGTTACAATAATCTGTTCTCTTCACAGCTGGTTATGGTTACGGTCTTGGAGGTAAGAATCGGAATTCACATTATCTCCTCCTTAAACCTACATCTGGGTCTCTACAGAGTTCTGCGACAGATCAGAGACCATTCTATGCCCCCAAAGCACTCCTAGTTGGGTGTCATTCGCATACGTGTAGTTGACCTCATGTTTGCGCATTATGACCAAGGAGCAAACAGATATTGAAGGAGGGGGGCCCAGGACAGAGCCCTGAGGAACGCCGCACAGGTGCGAGACTGGAGGAGTCCTGTAGCTCAGTGGTTAGAGCACTCGCTTTCCAAGCGAGAGACCTGAGTTCAATTCCAGGCACAGGGTGAAACCTTGGGCAAGTTTTCTTACTCCACACAGAGCCTAATAATAATCCCTCCAAAACCAAAACCAATAATAAATTTGTCATTTTCAATCTATGACTGTTTGTGGGACATTGCTGTGCGCAATTGACTGCCGCGTTCGCCCACAAATATACAGTCAATTCACTTTACAGTGTGTTCTGTGAAGCGCTTTGGGACGTCCTCCCGACGTGAAAAGCGCTATATCAAATGCAAGGATTATTATTATTATTATAAACCGTTTTTGAAAATGAAGTGGAGGCAGTGTGAGAGGTAGAATTCAAGGATAGCACTGTGAAGGTTGAGATGAGAAGAGGGGCAGAGGATAGAGTAGTCAATGGTGTCAAAGTCAGCAGAAAGTTCAGAGGGAGCCCTGGTCGCAGATGGACAGAATGTCATTTGTCACTTTGACCAGAGCTGTTTCTGTGCTGTGGGCGGATGGAAACCCAATTGGAGGGATTCGTGAAGGGAGAAGAAGGAGCGAAGCTGGGAAGCAAATCGTTCCAGGATCTTGGAGGGGAAAGGTTGGAGTTGGGGCGGCAGTTTGAAAGCAGGGATGGGTCCAGGGAGGGGTTTTACGGATTGGAGTGATGATGGCCGTTTTTAAAGGGGTGGGAACGGTGCCAGTGGAAGAGAGAGGTTTATGATGTCTGTCACTAGAGGGGCAAGGATGTGGAGCTGGGAGGTAAGAAGAGAGGTAAGGATGGGGTCGAGGGAACAGGAGGTCCGTTTCAAATTGGTTATAATGTGGTGAGAGAGGAGTGGGAGAGGGGTTCAAAGGTGTAGAGGCAGGGATGGGTAGGGGTCGGGGTGTGAGGGGGGAGATGTCAAACAAAACAGCAAGACAGCATTGACTCCATTCCGATTTTTAATTACCAGAGGTATCAGTAGAAGTAACTTAGGGATTCTGCTTACAGGCCTGAAAGGAGTATAGTCAAGTTATTTCTGTTGTTATGAAATGTGGACTGATATTTATTCAGTGTGGTTAATATTTATTCAATTGTGTTGCTTTCACAGGCATTCCTTACGGTAAGCATCACAATTCACATTATTTAATTCCTTGAATGTCTATTTTTATTCCTCAAATAGTATATTCCAGGTCTTTGACAAAACTCTGAAAAAATGTGATTATTAATTCCCACCAAATTACTCACTGAGCTTCTCACTGACAAGTTATTCTCATGAACAGTTCACACCCCACTCCTCTATCCGGTGGTACCTTTACTCAGCTCGCTTTATGATCAGCAATGCCCCTCGCATGCTGGAGCTTGATCACTCAAAGCCCCAAGGCACACCTAATTCCCCAACCTGACAAGCCACCCAGTGTCACAGGGTAAGTATCCCACGCTAGAGGTTTAAAGGCTGCCCTCTTGACACAAAGGAGACTGGCCAGTGGTCAGAGTGTAAGAGTTCAGATCCCCAGTCATACCCTGCCAAGCCCTGTAGACTTGCCGGTGATAAGAACCATCCAGAGGGGGGTTTGTCAGAACCAGGGAAGTGGGAGTACACCTCTGACTTATGGTAAGACAGCTGTAAGCACCACATATCGATATAGCACAAAACTTCCCCCAGTCAATTTTGGGCTGTAATCTCATTAAAAAAGTCTAATGGATTGGATAGACAAAATCTTTCCTTTCTGAATCTATGTTGGTTGTCATTTATTAGACATTTTTATATAAGTTTTATTCCTCAAATAGTAAATTTCTGATTATTCACTCCATCATTTTTCCAATTATTGAGGTCAGACTACCAGATCGATAGTTGGTTTGGTTTGGTTCTGACACCTTTCTTGAATGTGGGAAAAAACATGTTTGTTTCCAGTCTGTTGGAACCTCCCGAGTCCTGAATGACTCCTTCATGTTTGTCACTGCTGCACAATCTATTTAGCCAAGCATTATTATTTGTTCTGAAATGCAGAAGGGTATTTGTTCAATGCAGTTAATATTAATATTAACGTGTTCTCTTCACAGTGAATTGTGCCTAAGGTAAGAATCAAAATTAACAATAGTTCTTGTCTTAAATTTCTGTATTTCATTCTGCAAAGTGTATTGTTAGGTTCTACAATAGGAAATTTATTTGAATAGTTCCAAGAAGAGCGACAGAATTGAATTAAATGGGAGTTCTAGTGCGGGAACAAGCACCAGCAGATATGATGGCAGAAGAGCAGGCAAATGGGATTTGCTCTAGTGGTGACCAATTCTATTTCTTTAACTCTTGTGCATATCTTTCAGAAGGTTTCCCCCAGCAAATGCTGCTTCTCCACTGAAGAATGTTTCAGATTGCCGTGGTCTGGCTCTGATGACCATAATCGTAGTTAATGCTTCATGGGTCTTTGGGAATTCACTTCAACAAACAGAATGAAGAATCAACGCTTCTGTATTTACAATCAATTCCAGCCATTTATTCAGAGTGATTGATCTGTTATTGGCATCAATGATTAGTTTAATGATGATAAAGAGACGATTCTATAACATCTAAAATCCACCACACACCTGCTCACCCTCTCAGCCATTTTTATTGTCCCATTGAAACTAGAAGACAGGCAACACAGGGAGCTGTGAAACTCAATCTTTTAAGATCAATCAGGCTGGTTGAGATAAGACCGATGTGGTCTGTGAATTCATACAATTTTAAAATTAACTCCCTCCCTCAGAACAAGCAAGCTTTGTGTCAGTTCCACAGTCCCCACTTCCCACACAATGCCATTAGCTCCTGGGAATCAGTAAGCCAGGAAATTGCCTCCACTGATTCGGAAGAGAAAGGGTGGAAGAGCAGTGGGTAACAACGGCCATACTTGTCATTGAGAGGAACTAGAAGAGAGCCACAAAATTTCATCAAAGTTCACAGTGCCCTCGTTTGGTGGATTTAAAGATCACAAATTTATTGGAAGTGGGAGTAAGTCAATCTGTTCTCTCTACTGTAATTTGGAGCCCCATTGCTCCTGTCTTCGTGGACACAATGGGTTGCGTTGCCTGTAATGGATGGTTTATTAGTCTCTCTTTTCATGTTGTCATAAACACTGAATGGCACAATCCGTATCTAATGGCTGTGCAAGGAACACTCTTTTTCTAACAGCAATGTAACTAATATTATTAATAAAGATTCAATGCATCACAAAAACTTTGTCTTGTCTGGTGTTTATTTACTGCTCGTAAGATAGGATAAGGATTAGATCAGTCAAACTGTCAAGTTTGCAGTACTATTTTATTATAACTTGCCCACAAAATATCTATCTACTTGTCTCTCAACTACTTACTTTAACCCAGCATCTCTAATTTTTGTGACAGGTAATAATACTTGCATTTAATATAACACCTCTCAGGTTGGAAGGATACCTCAAAGCCCTTCACAAAAGCTCTATTGTGACTATTTTGTAAGCGAACATGGCTGTCAATTTGCACATAGCAGTAATAATCCTTGCATTTGATATAGTGTCTTATCAGTCGTTTGAGACGTCTCAAAGCACTTCACAGATATACTGTAAAGTGAACTGACTATGTATTGTGTGGGCGAAACACGGCAGCCAATGGCACACAGCAGTGTCCCATATACAGTCGTGGATTTAGTGATCAAATTATTATACCTTTTGAAGGGATTATTACTCCCGGAAAGCGATCTGCCAATCGATTAACAACCAGGTTCCTACTTACTGCTGTGTAAACAGGCATGTGGAGTAAGGAAACTCGCACAACATTTCGCCCTGCCTGGGAATCAAATCCAGGTCTCTCACTTGCGAGGCAAGTGCGCTAACCACTGAGCTACAGAACTCCAATAACCCCCAAAAGGCTATGAAATGAATGACCAATTTTATTTGGGGACTGCTTTTTCTGTCAATAAGACAGAGGTTTTCCTGCTCCCATCAGCACCTTCTCACCTCAGGTGCTAACTGTATCAAAGAGAAGGCCAATAAGCCCATAGTGACTTTGCGGAGCTGGTGCATAACTTCCATGTCAATTTTGACTCCCGACTGTCTTTCAAGCAGGTTTTCACTCGTTCAGCTTTCTCTCACCTCCGCAACACTGCTCACCTCTGCCTCTCCAGCTGGGCTGCCAAGGCCCTAATTCTTCATTATGTCCAAGATAACTGTTCCAATGTCCTGTTCACCAGACTCTCCAGCTCCTCCCTAAACAAGCTGCAGACCAGTCACAACTCTCCAGCCTATGTCCTTTCCTGCAACCGGTGTCACAAACCTATCACCATCTGCTTCAATGGCTCCAAATCTACGATCCCCACCCCTCACAGATGATTTGCCCAGCCAGTTATGTAAAAAATGTTGAGATGTCCTCCTACCAAAAAAGCCCTATACAAATGTAACTTGTAAACTGTATTGTTGGCAATGACATTGGGAGAAACTTCCTTCCCTTTCGAATAGTGTCATGGAATCTTTAACATCCACTTGAATAGGCAGACAATAATAACAATAAAACAGCATTTATATAGCGCATTTCACATGGGGAGGACATCCCAGATTCATCCGATGGCAATGCAACACACCACCGACACTTCATCATTTTACTGATCTCAATCAGGTCTCCCCTCTGTTCCAATGAAAATGGGCCCACTTCCCACATCTTTTCAGAGATGTAGTGCTCAAACTTGAATACAATACTCCAGATGAGTGGTGAGCAGAACTCTGCAAAAATGAAACATCATCTTATTGTTTTGCGTTCCAAACCCTCTTGATATCAACATCAACCAACATCCCATTCGCTTATTGCGTTTTGTACTTGTTAAATTATTTTTAGTGACCTGTGGACTTGTACACCTAAACCTATTTGCTCATCCATCTCTCCTTGTCTTTTCTGATTAAAAAAAAGTATTCCAATTTGTAGTTCCTAGATCAAGAGTGGATTACCTCCACTTTGCTATGCTGAACTCCATCTGACATAGTTAAATAAACAATCCCACAAAAAGCTAGGAAGTAAACATCCAATGTCATTTGGGGGATTGGTAGCCGGACATCAAGAGAAACACCCTTCTCTTTTCAAATAATAGCATGGAACAATGATGTCCACTTGAACAGGTAGACTGTTTTGGCACGTCTGCCAATACAGCACACCAAAGGTACTGCATTGCTGTGTCAGCCTCGTTTACAAGCTCAAAGTCCTAATATGGAGCTTAATATACTGTCAGCTGCTCTTTCATCGAGGTCAGGGTGGTCCAACCTTTCGGCTGCTGAGGGGCGGATTCCAAATTTGTGAAACGTTCACAGGCCACATAAGCAATATTTTTGTGTTTCCCTTCCAGAAACATAACATTTAAACAGTGCCTTTTTCATGTCAGAAAAACATCTCAAAGTGCTGAACAACTTGCAATTTAGCACCCTTCACGCAGAATTGCAACCCAAAGCGCTTGATAGGAGCGGAGCATAACGCCGAGCCAAGGGGCAGGAGAAACGGTCGAATATGAAGATGCGGAAGGAAGAAGGTGGAGGGATAGAGGAATAGTGTTCCAGAGTTTTGGGGCTAATAGCTCGGCCACCAATGATGTAACAGTGGGGCACAAGGGACTTGCAGAAAGCCTGAGCCAGTCGAGCGGAGGTAGCCGGTGGGAGGTTGGGGGGATAAGCAGGTAGGAGAGGTAGGTTGGTGCCAGGGCATGAAGGGATTTGAAAACGAGTGTGAGGATCTTGAAATCGTTTCATTCATCGATAGGAAGCCAGTGGAGCCTGTCTAGAACTGGTGTGATGGGGCTATGGAGTTTAGTACGGGTACTCGGGGCGGCAGAGTTTTGGATTAACTGGATCCTATAGCGGAGCTGGGCAAAGAGGGCATTTGAGCTGTCGAGTTGGGAGGTCCCGAACATATGGACGAATGTTTTGGCTTCGTCTGTGGTAAGGTACGGTCGGAGGCGGACAATGTGGCGAGATGGAGGAAGGGGGTCCTGGTCAGGGACTGGATGTGGGGAAAGAAGGACAGCTGTGGGTCAAACCTGACACGTAGGTTGCACATTCGTTCGGTAAGTCTGAGCAATAGTCCAGGGAGGTTGAGGAGTTCAGAGCCGCAGGACAGAAGGCACCTTTCTATTGGTCCAGGTGATGAGTATGATTCCTATGATATGTTTTAAACAATTCAAACATGGTTGTCAGCGTGGTCTGCTCTGCCCTGAGAGGCAAATGTTTTGTATTTTTCCTTGTACAATTTGTGTAGGAATGTCTAATAGATTGTAGGTCAGTCAGAAGGTCAATGAGCAAATCAGAGAGAAGATTATATTTCTCTCGCAGAGGACGAATGTACTGTTTGCTGAATGAAAATCAAAGATTTAGTGGAAGAAATAATGTAAATTCTGAATCTAAGCTTAAGCACCGCAGCCAGCGAAGCGAACATATTTGGGTTAATATTAACTGTACTGAATAAATAAACTGTACTGTTTATCTAGCAACAACAAAAATTGTATAACGCCTTGCATGTCGAGAGGACTTCCCAAGCAACTGGATAATCAGTGTTTTGGACCTGATCTGGGGGTCAGGATTGGGGAGGGTGGGGAGAAGGGTGAGCAAAGGCACGGTCAAAGAGGAGGATTTTGAGATGGGTCTTAAAAGAGGCAAGGGAGGGGGTATGGAGTTCCAGAGGGTGGAGACTGAGTGCCATAAGGCCCGCCCGACAGGTAGGCGAGTCGGAGCTGCTGAGCAGAGGGAGCGGGCAGTTTGGTAGGGGGTTAGAAGATCGCAGAGGTAGGGGAAACAAGGCCATGGAGGGCTTTGAAGGTGAGGACCAGGATCTTGAACTGTATCCTCTGTGTGATGGAAAGCCGTAAGTAGCAGTAAGTAGGAACACAGTTATTAAGTCGATTGGCAGATGCTTTTTCCGGGGGTAATAATCCCTTCAAAAATATAATAAAAATAAATAAAATAATTTGATCACTCAATCCACAACTGTTTGTGAAACACTGCTTTACGCAATTGGCTACCACGTTTCACTCACAAAATATGATAGTGATAAGGCACTATATCAAATGCAAGAGGTTATCATCATCTCTGGAATGTCCATGGGTAGGTATAATACATACCTATATAATATAATACATGCATAATACATGCAATTCTGTTTGTTTGGATATTCTTAAGCATGGTGATGGGTTTCCGCATATGTCATCCTGGCTGTTATCTTAGAATAACATAGTCCTGAATTATTATGACCCTGTTATTCCTGCACCACTCCCAGATTTCAGGGCATTGGGATGTCCTCCGAACGTGAAAGGCGAAGGTAGGGAGGAGCAAGGCCATAGAAGGCTTTGAAGGCAGGACCAGGATCTTGAACTGTATCCTCTGTGTGATGCAAATGCAATTTATTGTTCTCTATAGATACCTTACCCCATTTTATTGGTAGGGATCTATAATAATAATCTATCCAAAAGAGTTAAGGGATGATCTTATGTGATAGAGATCTTCAACATAATGTGATTAAGAATTAATCGTGAAATGCTTTTGGTTAGTGGAGGGATTGAAGAAATGAGAGCATGAATATAAAATTGTGATTAGGATATAAGGAGAGTTTCAGAAAAACTGAGGATTATGAGGGTGTGGAATGATGTGCATGGGGTGGCCTTAAGAGCAGTCAATTGGGTTTTTAAAAACAAATAAGAAAAGAACATTCTGAAAGGATGGAAAAAAAGTAGGGAATTAGGTCGAGAATATAATAATAATCCTTGTATTTGATGTAGTGCCTTATCACATCTTTGAGACTTCTTAAAGTGCCTTACAGAATCTACTGTAATGTGAATTGACTGTACATTTTGGCCAAAATATAGACGAAATGCGGCAGCTAACTGCGGGTGGCAGTATCCCACAAACAGTCGTGGATTGAAGTGACCAATTTTTAAAAATAATTTATGGATGAATAGCTTTCACAAGAAGCAAATTTAATAATAGTAAACCTTGTATTTTGATATCGTATTATCATGTCTTCAAGACTTCTCAAAGCGCTTCACAGAATATACTGTAAAGTGAATTGACTGTATATTTTGTGGGAGAAATGCGGCAGCAAAGTTGTGGATTGAGTGAACAATTTTTTATTTTTTGAAGGAATATTATTATCTTTCTTCCCCAGAAAAAGATTCGCCAATTGACAACAAGCAGTTCCTATTAACTGCTACATAATCAGAGGCATGTGGAATAGAAA